GACAGGGGGGGAAGTGAGAAACGGAACACTAAGGATTCTCCTTCATCGCACGACGAGAAGCTAAGTATTTCTCATACATGGCCTGACCCCTAGTCACAGATCGTGGATATGTTCCTTTCTCTGGGGGCATAAGGGAAAGACACTCCTCAATGGCAATGACATGCTCCTTCTTCCCGATTTCGACATCAACCCCTGACGCCTTTAACATGTCCTTGTGTTTTGTCGTCAACCCCGGGACTGTATGCAATATGTGTTCCGGATATTTAGAGGGTCTCTGTGTTCGAGACGACCCGACCCCTGTACAACAGAAGAAAGACAAAACGGAAAGTGAATACACGTTTCCAAAGAAGATCCCGACGGAACGACAATTAAAGGACCACGAAATCTAAAAGACGCAGGACCCATGCAATTACAGAACCCCGTCATGCCATGAGAGTGCGAGAGAGAGAACTTCCGCACGAGCCACGTTGCAAAACAAAACGAGCAGTGCACTCGAGCTCGACACCCCGCCCTTCAGAAGGGAAAAACACATCAAGTCACAGAAGCGGAAGGCAAACATCTCCGAAGTCCGGATCCCGACGGACTTTTCCAACCCAGGGAGATGACCGAACCCCTGTGTAACCGAAGGAAGAGAAAACGGAAAATGAACTCACGTAATCCAAGACGAACCCGACGAAAACGACAACTCAAGAACCACGAAATGTAGAAGACGCAGGACCTATCTATTTACAGAGCCCCGTTTAGCCATGAGAGAGATAGAGAATACTTCCGCCTAGGCCCCGCTGAAAAACAAAAGGAGCAGTGCGTTCGACCTCGACACGCCCGCCCTTCAGAAGGGAAAACCTCAACAAGCCACAAACCCGGAGGCCAAACATTTGTGAAGTCAGGATCCCGATGGACTTTTCCCAATCGAGGCACCAGAAGAGTAACCGCGTTACGCAGCGGCCTTGGCAATGCGGATCCCGACCGACTAAAACCACATCTCATTCCGAAAGAGAAACACCATCCTTCCATTATGTGAGGGAACGCTTCAACAAAAACACACATGTTTTTGTCTCGTGCGCATTGACAGACACTGCGGTCACTGTTGCGCAAACAGAGTGGCGTTTGTCACTGCTTACGAGCTGGTTTGTCTCTCCGCTCCTTAATCGGCGAAGTTGGCGTGGGCAAGGCCAGCACGTCGAGAGCTCGAGTGCCGGCGGCAGTTTTTTTCGGGGATGTGACATCTTGTCGTCCCCCGATCCCGCCTTCTCCTCCGCTGGCGATGGTTGGCGGCAGCATCGGAGAGCTCGTCGGCGAGAAACCGACGACAGATCCCCCGGAAGGTTTGACGTTGAGAGGGCCGTCGACACCAGGCGTCGAGGACCGCTGCGCGGACATGTGGTGGTCGCCCAGGATGACGTCGATAACTTCTTCGATGTCAATACGCACACTCGGTTTAGTCAGGCTGACTGCTATACGAGCTTCGTTGAACCGGTGTTGGAGATCGACGGCAGACATCATTGCTTGGACCTCATAGTCATCACGTTCTGCCGAAAGGCTTGTGACCACCTGTGTCTCCATACCCAGTGCCGTGTCATCGTCGTCCTCGTCTTCCTCGCGATGTTCTCCGTACAGCTGCCCGAATCCTTTAGAAGACTTCCCAGATCTGTCGTCGTCGTCGCCGGAAGTCCGTTCGTCGTCTCCTGTATCGAGTTCACCTTTTCCCCCCTCCTGCCCTCCTAGCAACCCAGCCAACTCCGTTTCTTTCCCCTCCTCTCCTTCATCCTCTTCTTCCTCCCCTTCATCCCTTCCTTCCTCCAATTCCTCCCCTGTGTCTCCTTCCTCCACTTCCTTCTCTTTGCCCATCACCCTGCCTTCTTCCCCTGCATGCAATGCAGCCASTTCGCCCGARCCCGTGTCGATTCYCGATGAATGYGCTTCCCGCCCGCCGCACRCAGCCCCTCCCGCCTGCACYAATATCCCTGGTTGRYCCCCCTTGCCTGAAGATGTTCGGATCCCGGCGAACTTCGCGGACTCCCTGTCGCTGGGCCCTCCACACGCCTTGCCTGAAGAAGTTCGGATCCCGGCAAACTTCGCCGTCTCCCTGTCGCCGGGCCCTCCACACGCCTTGCCTGGAGAAGTTTGGATCCCGGCGAACTTCGCCGTCTCCCTGACGCCGGGCCCTCCACACGCACCCTCTCGCTCCGACCGAAGCGGTTGGCGATCCCCGGCAGGCGGCGAAGTCCCGTCCCTCACCGCATCGCTGTCTATTTTGGGATGACGACTCGCCACCCCCGGTCCTGACCAGCTCTGCGCGTCCGCCCTCTCTGTCCGCTCTGCAAGCATTGAAGTTCGGATCCCGGCAGACTTGAACGTTTCGACCGAGTCGGCACGGAGAGCAACCAAGGCCGCCATCACCGAGCAGGTGGATGAACAGGGCACGTCCTCCGACTGTGCCGAGCATTCCAGACCGGGACCGGCAGACTGCTAACGCCCGAGGACCTCCCCCACCACCCCGCCGCTGCCTTCCGCTGTCGTGGTGTCGCCCTGAGACCCGCCCTCAGCCTCGTCGCCGTCTCGTTGTCGCCCCGGGACTCGTTTGCCGCCCCCAGCCTCGTCGCCCTCATTCTCCCCACCTTCCGGTCCCCGGGACCGTGTACTTACATGCGTCCCACTGGGAGGGGGGATTTTCCAGTCCACCCTTCCTTTCGAGGGGCTCGTGTCGAGGTCGTAGTAGTCCTCCGTCAGCTCCAACCAGCACTTCTCCTGAAGTTCGGCGAACAATTGCCCGGCTGTGGAAATGACGGACACGTCTTCGGGTGTGAAAGAGCCATTCTCGGCCCTCACTTTCTGGAGGACCGCAATTCTAGCGACGTCGAGAAAGTCAGACTTCGACCTGCGAGGGAGTGGCATCCGTCCTCCGTCCGGGACAGCGACCGCCATGATCCACTCACCCTTTTGGATCGCCGGCTGGATGACTCCTGGATGCCAAATCATGTCATGGCCCCAGTCCGCCTCCGTGGAACGACTTTGAGGCTCATGCAGGAAGTGAATGTTGGCATTCGTCCAAGACAGATGATCGGGCGGGATGTCAGACCCGGGACGCAATGAGCGATGGCCGGAGGCCAGAGCATGCATTCTCTGCAGCAACTTCATCGGGGTAGTGCAAGGCGCCGGTTTCGTCATCGGTGACACGAGGGACGCTGGGCTTGTTGACGGACCTGCCAAGGACGGCCCTGTACCGTGCTGCGCGGAATGTTGGTCATACTGCAGGTCGAGGCTTTCGGTGTCGCTGCCCTCCTCGTCCGCGGTCGCGTCGAACTCGATGCCGGTGGTCTCCTCGTCTTCCGTGGAGATAAAAAAGGAGTAACTGCCGAACGTCAGCTCCTCCTCTGACTCCACGAAGTAAAGGGACTGCAACCTCTCGAGGAAGGTCTTCGCATTCATGAGGGATGCGCCGTGGTAGTTGTCGAGCAACGTGAACATGTGGTCCTTGCGGCGCGCGTACTCGGCGTCGGTGTCTCTCTTCGGCCGCGTTTGCAGGAACAAGAAGTCGTATATCTTGTTCCGCTTCCTCGCACTCAACTTGAACCACATGTCCGTCTTGTTGTTCCATGCGCGAGGGCGAGACTCAATGACGACCATGAACTCGCAATTGTGGGCACCCGAATTGACCTCGCTTTTGACGAGATCAATTGTAAATTGCAAGAGCTCGGAGTTCCCTTCCATCGCGATGACGTGCCGTCCTGCCTTCAGTACTTCCCAGACTGACCGCGCGTGTGGCTTCCCGAGGAAGACGACACCCTCCCCCTTCTTGGTGATGGATTCGAGAAGCTGAACGAATTGGGCGGGGTTGCGTTCCATGTCCCCGTACATAATGCCCCGACGTGCAGGCGAGGTATGCGACCAGTCGCAAGCGTTGAAGGGGATGTCGGACACATCCGTTTGCGTAACCTTTTGTGGTACCCGCATTGCAGCAGCGGCGCCTGCCGGTAGTTTCCCCTCGTAGACGACGAACGTGTTGGCCCCGCAAATCGTCGCCTTTGAAGAGTATGTACATCCGGTCGTCATTCGTGTACAAATTGTTCCGACGGGGAAGCTTTTCTTCTGTTGACTCCTCCTCACCCACTTCCCTTCCAGCAGCTTGATGAAAGAAAGATGGTTCATGCTGGCCAGAAAGGAGAGGTTCTGCTGCCGCGGGACAAAAACAACGAGCGTCCAATGCGATGGACACCACGTCTGGAGTTGGGAATTCAGAGTGTTGCACGCTTGCGGTTTCCAAAGCTTCAGGTCCACCGGTTCGCACAGATCGAGGACGAACGTGTGACTCTTTGTGGCAACCACTGCCTCCTTCACCTCCGCACTCCTTATGTCTGCCTCCAAGGGGTCGTTGCCGAATGGCGCGATGGATGTCACGTCGCCCGTGTCATTCCATTTTATGTGCACAATGCCTTCGGCAAGCGAGATCTCTCGACTCTTCAGTCTACTACCAGTCAACATGGACAGGACCTTATTCCGCCAGTCGACGGACAGCTTCTTGTGACCGGCCAGCTTCTCCGTCGCCTCGATTGATCTGTCGTCGTCGCAGCCCATGTAGGGCGGGCAGTCCTTGAACAGCGAGGAGTCAGTGACGTATTTCGTGCTCCCGTCCCACAACTCAGCATCCAAACCACTCTCAAACTGTCTGAAAATTGCGGACCTTGATTTCAAGAATGGGAACCTCTGGCTCCAATCCGCGTCCGGCCTTTTGTCGTGCTTGAACTGGTAGTAGTTCCACAGACGCACCAGCACCCGGTCGCACTTCACCAAATTCACCACCTCCTGGACGCTCAGCTTTCCGAGCTTCGCCAACGCTGGGGAGCCGGCCTGTACCCAAACCACCTCGCAAGCGAGCACCTTCTTCAGAACGCGGCACTTCTCGTTGTCTGTCAGCGACTCCATCGTTTTCCAACAATGCGCGTC